AAAGAAGAAACAAAAGAGTCCACAAAAGATCTCATAAAATAAGTGAAATATCAAGTTTTGACTAAAAATTCCAAAAAAGAAAAAATAAATATAATGATACAAGAGCTTGTAGTAAGATTACAAACACAAAATATTGTTGCTTCATGAAAAACTTTCTTGATCATAACACCATCATTTTCAGCAAAATTAACTATACATATACTCAAGTATCTACAATTACATTGATTACTACACCAATTATAATAGAAATAATGATTTTGTTTAATAAGCTACAAGATTCATTCTTATATAAGGTATTTTAAATAAATGACAATTTTAATCAATACTTGTGACATTTCAAAAATATTGCCAGTATTAACTAAGTTATTGATTCAATAGAAATCAAAAATCTATTTATCACAACTTTGGAAGAAATGGCAATTACTTAGGCCTATGACTTTGAAGAATAATATCTTATTGCATCTTGTAAAGAAATAAAAAAATAGTTTTTTTTTTATTATTTTTAAAATGTAACTTTTAAAAGTAATAAAGAAGGATTATAAGTATTGGAGGTAATCAAAAAACACTCAAACAAATCAATAGATGATTTTTATAATTGATTCAAGGAAAGATTGGATATTTTTAAAATATTATTCAATAACTTTGTATTATGAAATTAGTTCTAAGAAGTTTTACGTATCTTATTTTAACAAGAATTAATTTATATGTAGGTTACCATATTGTGCAAAATACTAAATGCAACTATACAAATTTCTAAAGAGCCAAGTAATATTGTTAGTTATAACATACTACCACAAATATTTATACAACAACTATCTATGTGTAGCATTTGTAATTATGAGCATCTTCTACCTTTCAGATGAAAGCTTTCGAATCAAAACAAGTAGCTTGCAAAATGACCACAAAATAAAGCAACAGTATCATATTTAGATAAAGTCCATTGCAATGCACTTCAACCAAATCAAAAATCAAGTACAAACGATGGTTGGAATTGTGGATCCATTTAATATTACTAAAAAAATTATCCAATATATAAATCACAATGCCTATCATTTCATGCAAAGGATCAAGATCATAAAGGTAGTGTAACAATTTTCAAATTAAAGGATGCAAGCATAAGCATTTCAACCATTTTTGATACAATAAACTAATCATAAAAAGAACAAGATTTGGAAAGAATAGAATACTAAGTAGAACCTTAATAATTATTTCTTCTAAAAAAATTTAAAAAGTTTATACAATCTCATAATGACAATACAAAAAGAACTTGAAACAATACAACTCAATATGCCAACTTCGAACAAAATCTTGAATACCACAACAATGGACCCAGACATTGTAATAATCTGTATTCGTTTAGGACAATACAAATTAATCAATGTCCTTGTTGATAAAAGCTTCAAAATAAACGTTATAGCCAATCATATTTGCTAGTACCTCTAGCTCTTAAAATTAGAAGCTATGTCATTTATAATTTGCATGGCAAACAATACCTTAATAATCCTCTTGAAAATTCTTACAAATGTACTAATCTTTATACATGGCTAGTAATATCTACTACTTTTGCAATCATTGAGATGCCACAAGATAGTCATTTTTTAATTACATTAAGACAATTTTAGTTATGAAATATGAATGCTGTATACAATTGAAGAAAGAATTACTTAATCTTAATTAAAAAAATAAAGATGCATAATAATCTTAGTAAACAACTATATTACATGTGATCAAACCAAAAATACAAGACATTTCACCATAAGACAATAGAATCAAAATTACCAATGGAACATGAGGTATTTCTATTACATATTGATAAAAATTTAATCATGTTAGCCAAAATTCATTTAGCAATCTTATTGACTTCATCTAAAGGATATTTAGATATTTTTTTATATTTTTTTAAAGAAATTTCAAATACCACAATATTAAAAAAGGTTCTAGCATGCCTAGTATTAAAAGACACATCAATTACATGGTAGTCATATAGTATCACAAAACATGTCCAATTACTCAATTTGAAAACCATAAAAGAATCAAAGAATGTCAAAATGAATGTGGATGCACTTCACGAACTAAAAACAACACCAATTTTTTTAATTAAAGAATTCAAAGATATTTTTACATAATTGCACAAAGATCTAAAATGCATATCCATAACCATTACTAAATATACCATTGATTTATTAATATTCTAATATTGATTTTTTTAATATTTCAAGTTTATTAATTTATTAATATTCTAAGTTTATATAATTACATCTAATATCACAATTTAAATTATAGTAGTCTAAAATTCTATTGGCTTGGTCAATCAATCAATAGCTTATGCATGTCAATTATTGTATCATATAGAATGCAACTATTGAACTATGGAATGGGAAGGACTAGCCATGTTATATGTAATTAAAAAAAATTGCCATTATTTATTGAACAATAAATTCCACCTTATCATAGATTATCATAATTTTTTATATTTAATAAACCAATAATCATTAGACGTGTAGTACGATAGATCACAATCCTTCTAGAATATGACTTCAAAGTAGTTCATGTCTAAGACAAACACTACACTGTTACCAACTATTTATCTAGAAATATGACCACCATTGAATCAGCAGAGATCAATAATACTTTTAATGATTTGTAAGTCAAGACCATTGCTGCTCAATCCATAATAATCAATAATGATTGGCATTCTTTCTATATAATGTATCTCACCACCGACCAAACTCTCAAAAGCTTAATCAATATACATCATACTAGCTTCATTTATCAAGCCTTATTTTGTATGTATGTAAATCAACACCTTCACAATGAAGTATAGATAACATAATACAACTCAATGTTCTTGAAGAATAGCAACAAGGTATTATTGAAGAATTATACAAAGGTACAATAGGATGGCATTAATAACAAGAAACAACCATTTAAAAGATATTTTTATCAAAATATTAGTAGTCTATTCTATACAATAATGTATATCAATATATCAAGCATTGTCACACATGTCAAATATTTGCTACAAATTTTGTATACCAAGGCAAGGTTCCACTACATCCTTTTCTACTACTTAGACTATTCATGAATTGCAACTTAGTGTTATAGACATCCATATTTAATATAATAATTACCTAGATAAGATGAGTAGGTAGAAGTATTTAAAAGTACATAAATTTGATAATATCTTGTAGAAGAGCTTCTTAAAAGCTTCATAAATATGGCTTTGTCTTTATATATGTCTATAAGTAATTGATAGGTTGAAAACTTAGTGTCATAGATATACATATTTATTCTAATAATTACATATATGATTAAATAGAAGTAGGTAAAAATAGATAAAAATAGATTAATTTCATAATATCTTTTAGAAATGCTTCTTAGAAGCTTCATAAATATGATTTTGATTTTATACGTGTTTATAGTTGACTTTTGGATTAGAAACTTGATCAACAAGTTAGCCATGTGTCACATGTGTGGATAGCTCGAGGGACAAGCTAATTATGTGATGCTTACATACAAAACTTGCCTTGCAAGATAAGACATGTGGCTTGCAAAGTTAATACATGTTAGAGGTTCAATAGAATGTTGCCACATAGCTCCTAGGTAGATAATATGTATAGAGGCAAGAGGGAAGTCTTCTTCATTCTTGTCAATTCCTTCTTTGCTCTAGTCTAAATTAAAGATTCTTTAATTTTCTTCTCTTTTGGCAATAGTCATTTCAATTTCCTTTCAATATACATATTTTCTTCATTCTATTTTATCATACTTCTTTGACAAAAGTCTCACCAGATTATTTGCTTTCATCGGGTTCTTGTCCTTGATACTTAGCCAACAAGTTGGCCACATGTGACATATATTTGTTATTTATGGTATATGTTGAACATGTGGCATACATATACGAAGCTTATCTTGCAAGTTAGACATGTGTCCTATAAGTTGGACATGTATTGGAGGTCATGTAGAACATGGCCATGTAATTTTTAGTTAGATAGTATATATAGAGGCAAGAGTGAGGCCTTCTTCACTCTTTTCAATTCCTTTCTTGTTTTTAAGGGTCTCTAGTTTCAAGGGTTTCTAATTTTCTTCTCTTTTGGCAATAGCCATTCCAATTTCTTTTTTAATATACATATTCATTTATTTCTTTTTTATTTGAGAATTGTCTCACTTATTTATTTGCATTCATTGAGTTCTTGTTCTTGACACTTGGATTTCATTGCTCCAATTAAACCACCAATACAATGACGACATAAATATATATTGGCAGCCATAGATTATATGATCAAATGAAATTTTAACCCAATTTTTTAATATTATTATTTCATGTATTTTATGTATAATAAATATATTTTAAAATAAATGGTATTTATTATATATTTTAATTTTTTTCTTAGCTATTATACATATTTAAATATATCTTTAAAAATAATTATTATTTTAATATTAATAAAAATTGAAAAAAAATCAAATATTAGATGTAAAATTTTAAATAATTTTTTAAAATATTAAATAAATAAAGGTGTGGCTTTAACAACTCTATATTTGTTGAGATTGACGATTCTATTGAATCGATTACATAGAAGTAGTTAAAAGGTTTAGCAATTCTAATGATCTGATTTTGAGACTGCAAAATCTCAAATGGCACAGTTAAAAACTACTGGACTGCCCACAAAATTTAGTAGCATAAAACTTGTACATTGAAAAATACTTGTTACAGGTTGAGTATCTTAATGTTGAGATGACAAGGTGGAAATCAAGGTGAACAAGCAGAAAATAAATGATCATCGCCATTTCAGTAAATATAGACGACTAACTTTAAAAGCGAATTTTCTGAATACCATGTAGCAAGTCTGTAGGATGCGGTGCCCCTGATGACGTGTCTATGTTGGAATACACCAGTCTCGAAAAATAATACAAAGAATATGTAGAGTTCGACAAATTAGTGAAAGCAAAACTCAAGTGCCTAGAAAGAAGTGGAAATCATACGACACAACCCTCGGAGATGAATGGAGGAAAAAGGATGTACCTATCTTACAGGTGAATTACAAAGCTTAACAATGACAGGTGTTTTATCAGGTTCATCACACCAAGGTCCACAACCTTTTAAGCCACTTGTATCGAGATAAGAAGAATAACTATTTCTCAGTACTCAACCCCTGATTTTAATTCCATCCAACCTAAACAGCCTAAAGAAAAGAACTAAAAACTAGTCTAGATGATTTCACATGGCAATGGCGTCTAACAATGAAGGAATTGCAAAAGACTACGAGTGAACACCTAGTGGTGGTTTACATGCTGGCAAAACTTCCTCGCTCCACTTTTTGCACCCGCTGCATTTCTTCCAAATCATTCAAGAAGCTGCAAAGAATAAGAGTGCATGAGACGAATAAATAAGTCACAGACCTTTGTTCCTTGCAACTACAAGCACTGTTACATGTGCAACTGCGATAGCTACACTATGAACTGAAAGAAATGAAGACGTAAGTCTACTATTATCGTAGAAAGGAGACATTACTGGAGCAGTTTAGTTTTTCGTTTAACACAAACACTGAAATATTGCTTGGATTAAATAAACGAATCTCAAGGCATAGCACGGTATATTTCCGAGACGAATGACCTCGGCAAAAATTGAAAATGAGGATAAGGATTAAAATATTTCGTACATTTAGCTCAGACCAGCCAAATAAACAAATTATATACACAGTGCACATAGAAGGAAATAGGCTAACCTTGTGGAGTTTTGAACAACGGTTCCGCCCAAAAATATTCGAATTCCTGTTTGTGTGGCGTTTACTAGATGCACACTACGTGCTTCTTCATAAGTTGTACCTCCGACCATGAAAATGACAACATCTTGTGGTCTGCAAATTACGACATCTGTCTTTCATCACAACTGCCGTACAATTTTTCCGCAGATATTGTTGTAACACATACTAAACTTTCAGAATGGGAAATCCAATACACTACATACCTGCCCTGTTGGAAATGGTTGCCCACAAATGGGTAATCGATGTCCCGCAACCGTCCTCTCACAATGCTCTCAATTGTTTGAGCAAGTAGAGGTTGATGTTGAGTATATACATTTTCCACGCCCTGCTAAAAGGGAATGTATATTAGTCTTGTCTAACCACCCTCATTACCCCAAAGACCATTCAAGTAGAAATGCGAGCCCAGTTGCATCAAGACACATGAGATCAAAGCTCCAGTGTATGGAATCGAAGTTAACCAGGTGCTGTCCAGATATCAAGTCTAAATACTACACCTGAATGCCAGAGCACTTTCTGCCCTTCTAGAATTGTAGCGTAAAAACACATAATGCGACACATTAGCTCCACCGATCTAGCCAAGACATTATACGATCACAAAAGGAACTACTCATTACTTCGGTTTCAAAGACACGGTCGCCAAACCTTGAGACCACGAGCTAATGTTCGGGCCTTGTTGAATAGGTCTCTGTTGCCAAACAAATCACCTGTACGCTTATCGAATCCAGCTTGCTTAAGCAGTGTATGTACAAGCTGCGTTAAGAACATGTAATCATTCAGTGGATTGCACTTCAAAAATAACTCATGCTATTAATATTCGCTAAATCAAGCAGACGAAGCACCAGAGTCACTGCTCTTCGTACCGCTGCTTTGTGCTTGCTAGTTCTTGCTGAGAGCCGACTTATAAGCTGCTCCACAGACTGGGGGCTTTCTCTTTCAAATCGGAGGGCATACAGCATAACCAACCGCACGCGATCAATATCTGCAGCTTTCTCATTGTTTACCAGATTCAACACTGCCTGTAACAATCTCCCATCACCAACGTCAGAAAACTGACTCAATTATCTTAGGTCAATTATCTTAGGTCAATTATCTTAGGTCAATTCTCTCTAGGCATTTCTAGAATACCGAAACACAAACTCATCACCGAAATACACAAAAAGGGTTTGCAATATTGAAAACTGAGAAAAGGTGATGAAGTTAAGATCAAGTCGCCTTGAAACTTGATGAGGATGGCTGTAGCAGGACTTAAAACAAATTTTGTGCACTGGCCGAATAGTCAAGCATCCTCTTAAGAATTTCTACAAAGCCACAAGAAATATCCGTCGAAGACTCACCTCAAATGCAACAGCTTGGTTTGCATTACATGCAAGCTCCTGTTCAGTTTGTGACACAGCCATAAGCTGGCGCTCATCCACAATTCTACTTAGTTCAGTCATCATTGTTACATGTTTTGAAACATTCCCATGTTGATTGCGATACTCCGGATAGTTCTCTACGAACTTAACCATGTCCTCTGCAGCCCGTCAATCCTTGATATAGTCAGACATTAAAAATTTGAAACCTGTTATCAAAATCCCATCAAAGTGGTAATTGAAAGAGTGATATCGTAATGTCATGAACATTCCAAGCATCAAATTTGTAGATCCTTGTCACAAGAAAGGGGCAATGTCGGACTTACGAACGGACTGGATATTCTGATTGCTTTTGGCTTTCACTTTGAATTCATCCACAAGCTTCTTTATATTGGCACCTAAGTCTCCAAAGTTTTCGTACATATTTGCTTTGAAAAATGTATCCTGCTGAGACGATAGCACAACTTCCTGACAAGACAGACCCCACAAGCATCAGACCTGATAAAATAGTTTTTGGAGTGAAATAGCATCAATATTTCATTTAAATGTGAAGTCACCGATGCAAGAGAAGTAACATGACCAGATAATAGATTTATACAATTTTATATTTTTCTGAGAATTTCCACCTCTATGTTACTATAGAACAATACCTGCAAGTCTTTTGGTACTTTGGGGAGCTTAGTAAGGTCAACGCGGTTATCCTGGATACCAAGCAGCTCATGCACCATAGCCTACAAAATATCCCAGCTCCATTCATTATCAAAAACCTAATTTAGAGAATAAGAAACACCTCACACAATTAAAGAAATATGAAAAAAGAGTACTTCAGATATCAACGAGTTCTGCACATAGAAACTCCATATAAATTATCATTGACATCTCAGGGTATATAAACTTGATGGCCACATCCGGCGGTACCTGGTAGGTCCACTGGTTCAGTAAAGGTGTGACTGGATCATCACGCCTATCAACCACCAAGAGCAATGGAGCCACCTCGGTTCGTCTAAAGTCAAATAAACCTTGTTCATGTTCATACATCAACCTCTGCCAAAATGCCCAACAACTGGATCTCAATAATGTGTCCCGCCAGTAAAGAAATGTCATGTGCGCAGAGGCAACTGCATGAAATATTCGTAGACGAAGAGGAATGTCGCATCAAAACAATTAAAACTAGAAATTAAAAGCACGTGCGTATTGGTGAATGATGTCTTCAGAAGAAAAGGTAATGAAGAACAAAAAGATAGCTTCGTTTTGCAAATTTCATACAAATAAACAACGGCCATAGACCCGAAACTGCGAAAATGTATACGTAGTCAGCAACTAGGATTTGATTATCCACCTAAGAGACTCACCGCAGCATCCTGAGCAACTCGGCGAGCTATTTCGGAGCTCCGCTCATATCGTATAACGGGTCGTTTTTTAAGAGATAGAAAGACAGCAGCAATGGCATCCAACATCCGGTCGCAAGCTTGCTGGCTGTTGTGTGGATCCACCACAGTTGGCAGCATAGATACATGGTTTGCGGGTAAATCCAATGTAAAATGAAAGGGATCTATTGCAAAGTAGTCGGCATAGAATTCCTGTAAAAAGCCAACCCTGTGGTGTTCATTTCACATTTTACTCATTCGAACTTGCGGTTGATATCCATTCGACAGAGATCATGACCGAAACCGTATATCATAGCTTCTCAAATGAGGTTTCTAAATTTTTGGCCTCCATTATATAAATGAAGCGTAATTCTAGGTGTCTACTCTCTCATGATAGTATTGTCTCTCATTATTCATTAAATATCCACATGGCGCACTACTAAGAGGCACGTAAGACCATTGCTCCATCATCCTAACAAGGTTTTTAGTTTAATCAGTGGCACTGTCCTCAAAGGTAATAGGAGATAGAAGGCTTACTTGCACTTGTTGAACTAAATCATGCTCGTCAGAGTCAGCAAGTATCTGGATGTAGGACTTCTTGATGATATTGCTGAAAACTGCACAGAAATTTATTTCATCAGACATTCACATTTAAGAAGTGCTAAGCCAGGCTTAGGATTTTAACACATACTTCAGCTGGATGAGCTTAGCATATATCTCTTCTATTAAACGGTATCCAGGTCCAACTGCTCTCAAATCGGTTCGAACAAACTGTGGTAGGGCAGTGCACACCTACATAAATGGTACTCTCCAAATCGTGCATTGTTCAAGTGGCGCTTGAGATGCTGAATATTTTCTACCGTAGGGCGCAGGAACGTGACAGCCTTCAGATGCCCCATTGCCTCCTTGGCTTGAGCGTCCACTTTCTCCACCAAAAAAACCTCCTTCTGGAGAAGCTCCGATTGACTCATTGCTACACTAATAATGCCCACCTGCGCCCCTAACCCTAGTCAGTACTTCTCCTACAACCACATTTTGAGTTCATCAATTCCGAACAGGTCCCTCTAGCTGAATAAAAAGATTTTTTTCATGTAACTGGCTCCACATGATAGATATAACCTGCTGCGGGCCAAGAAATTCAAATACAGAAACGAAGTATAGAAAAGTCCAGCCATCAAAACACAAAATCAGAGCTAGTGAGAGGGACTTTACAGTTTGAGCATCAAGAATCAGGACTTTCATCCCTGGAATGTCATTGAGCATTCGGTTCAGGTAATCGCGCACTGCGCCCACGAGCACCATCCCCGCTTCGTAGCAACTCTCCCTCCCTCCCCCTCTCTCTCTCTCTCTCTCTCGCTTCCCTATATCGCTCTCTCACTCTCCCTCTCCCTCTCCCTCTCTCTCGTGCGATCCGATGAAAATAAAACTCTGCGATGACACGGCCTCACCACCAGATGAAATAGAAGCAAAAATCTTGCCCGATTGGCCTAGCAATCTCAGATTCGGGGCAACATCTGCCCCAGAAGCCGTGAATTTTCCAAACCTTGACTGCGCCTCTTCACTTCCGCTAACCCCAGAATCACTTCGAAACAGAAAATCTCCTCAGTAGCTTCATAGACGACAATCGAACTGCAATGGCAGACGCAAGAGAACCCGGAAGATCGCAAGATGCAGAGCACGAAGGCGAAGAGGGATGAACTCGCAGGGTTGCACACGCGAAACTGAGGTCGACATACCCATCACTCTGGGGACGCTGGTGACAAGTTCCGCGGTGGAACTGTCGCCTCGCTGGGTGTCTAATTCCACTCAGAACGGTCTTGTCTCCGGCAAAGTTTTGTTCATCACGAGGCCTTTACCCACGTTCATTCATTGGAATTCATTTGATTTATTATTAATAGACATATTGATGAATAAATGTGTCCTGAGATCAGTCATTGAAGATATTTGGGCTTTCTGAGGTTTCTGTTCTTTTTTTAAAAAGCCTGGTTATTGTTTGTTTATGGGCTTCTTTGTGATGAACACGTTGTATAACATGTTTGTTTCATTACATTGACTATACTCTCAATAACAATTATTCAAAGAGTCGGTACATTACCAAATCTGAGAATTGTTATTGAAAGTTTACATTCAAAATGACAAGTAATGACAATTATGTTCAAAATTATCTGATTCCACTTGTATTTTCCGATGTAATTACTTGTGTTTAATGAAAGTTGAAGACACTCTACTACATTACATCTAAAATCCAATAAAGCTGTTTCCACAACTGTAGTAATAATTTTGATTAATTTTGGGAGGTTAATAGATGGCCACCTATAAGATTCATCGCCTTCTAACCCTGAATTCCTCTGTTAAGAAACACATCACACGCAACGACCGTTATTAGGATCATGATGAGTCTTTATTCATATTTATTTCGATGGAAAAGCTTCAAACCCTAATTTCGGGTTTGTAGGATGCTTCCGTAGTGTGTGCACAGGCGAGTCTATCAAATGCGACGCCTAATGCTGGTTATTGCCAGGTACCCAAGTGTTCCGAGGGGATCATCACTCGGCCCATAAACCACTTCAGCAATGGATGTTTCTTATTAACAGCGTTTCAGTTTGGTACAGGAACTCCTGGGAATAAGAAAGTTGGGAAATATTTCACTAACACACAACACCGGGCAACTGGCGAGAATATGGTTGTTAATATTAGGGGCGAACGTAGCATTCACCGCCCATTTCCTCAAGCAGTAACATTCTACCCACGAAATTCCTATATGTACATGATTCTCAATGAGAAACCCACCTTCGCAGATTCTACTTCTATGTGCATAAAACCTTCACCCGCTCGTTTCTCGCCACCATATACCATCGCTCGGCAGTGAACTATGTACAAGTTACAGCTCATCCTGTACCTTACCCTCCTGACTAAGACCCACTTGCTCATCTTCTGGAGCTATCTTCCCGGCTTCTTTAAATAAATCTAACCTCTCGGCCTCTCTTTGAGGCGACTCCAGTTCGGCTGCAGGCTTCTCGTTCTCCTCGGCTTTCACTTTTTCCTCTGGCTTCACGTTCTCCGCAGGTACCTCATAATTCTCAATTTTCTCAGGTTCTTTTTCAGCATTATGTTCAGGTTTAACTGAGTTATCCAATTCTTCCAGCCCCGCTACTTCGCCGAAGAGAGTTTTAAACAACTCACGGTGGCAGTGATCGCAGTTGAAATACCAGGAATAGTGACCTTCCCCTTCCAGCTTGTGGAGCTCCACTTGTGGAAGTACTCGTTTTACGTACTCGCTCATAACCAGAGGCACGATCTTGTCTTCAGTTCCCTGCGGACATGCACACGATAATTCCAACTAATGTCAACCTATGCATTTCAAACAGTAGGCAAGATCTTCAAGCAAGTGAGGAACGTGATTAAGCGCACGATTCTATTACTACCGTGCATAGCAAGCGGCTTCTCGTAATTGTAAAGGAAATGAAGAGATGGTGTACATGAAAGATATGAATTGGTCCAAAGAAACCAGGTAAGTTTGAGCTCCCAAGGAAGAAGAGTATACGCTTGAAGAAGCTCTTCTTGGGTTTTGAACCTATATCGGACAGTTTAAAGCCCCAATCCCTCGCTTGAAGGATGATATCTTGTGCATGTGGTTTGAGATCTCCTGAACGAACCGACTCTCTAATAGCTCGCTCCCACGCTTCTCCGAAAGCGTCCGTCTCAAGCAGATCTCGATCCTGTTAAGAATCAGCCAATCAAACTGCTAGATTAGAGGATACACCAGTTTTCAAGAACAATTAACAGATTGAAAATTAAATATATAATGAACCCTCTCGAGGACAATTAACAATCTCTTAAGAACTGGTTTAAGAACTGATACCTTTGCATTGACACGCTTTTTTGTGTTCTTCATGTACTTATTAACCTTCTTGACGTTGTTCTTGAGTTTCCCAGGAACAAAAGCAGGAAAGTGCCGGGCATACTGGAACGTAGGTTTCATGGGACCCAAACCGGCCCACATTCCTTTACTTTCTTCAGTGGTTGTATTCTTAGCGTACGGATTCATCAAAGGTCCGAGCATCGCCACTCCTGCGGTTCGTGCATCAATCAAGGAATTAGCAACTGAAAAATACGTCTAAAAGCCAACTCGCCGTGGAAGGAAGAACATGAACACCAAGGTTCCTGCCTGAAATCGTAGCCACAACTTAGTTGACAGAACGAAGATGTGGTTTTGTTGTTTACTCGAAGAGGCTTTACAGAAAGAGAGAGTAAGATGGATTACCAGCCAATCGATTAGGAATGTAGTGGAGAGCAGCCCATGCGTATGCGGCACCACCGGAGTGGGCGAAGACCCAAAATTTGTCGCCCATGCCCAAAGCATCAGCAAAGTCAGCCATGTCTTCTGACGATGAGTTCAATGTTCTCTTCAAATGAGGATCACTCTGTCCGATCCCCGGCCGATCGTAGCTAACCAAACGAACAGAGTATTTCCTGAGCAGATTCTCATTTACACCTTGAAGTCCTGCAATATGAAACAGAACACACGAGTTTAAAGTCGGAATAAATTCTAAACTAGTTGAACTTAGAACAACGCAAAAGCCATGAATCGAAATTGCAATAGCAAACTATCAAAAAAGAAAAACAGTAGCTGACCGCGCAGAGACGTACCCAGTAGGCGAGAGGACAGGAGGCCATGAACAAACAAGACGTTGATCTTGGCCTCCTCTCTGCTGGCACCATGTTCAACATAAGCAATGTGTCTCCCATTGGTCAACTTGACCTTATCAGCAAAGATTTTCGATACGTCTACGTTGTACTTGGAGCGTCCATCACTTGCACTCCAACCTGAATTGAAATACACACACACACAAGCTCTGTAAATTCGATGCCACCAAAATATCTTGGTTGACCAACGTTCACACCATTGCTTGGCCACCTCTGCATCTCTTCGTTTCTTTGAGGTTTGACACTATGCCACAAATTTTCTTAACTATGTTAACTCAAATCTCATCTTGGTTGTAGGACAATCTGAGTAGTGTTTCAATTTTTCAAATTAATCTTCTTAATTGGATAGCCGTTTCTGTTGACCTTGACCCCGACGCAGAAACGTCCTCCCAGCTCATGTCAAGAAGAGGGAGGTTTTCAGTGGAAAATGATGCATCAGTTGGAGACTGAGAAAACTCAACACAAATGTTGAAGAAACGACAAAGGTTCTGTGCACAGAAGCTCCAACCTGCGAGGAGCATGCACAAGAGCAAAACTCCGAGGCTGCCGGCAAAATAAGGCGCAACCTTGGATGGCTCATACCCCTCCTCCTTGTTATAAATTTTCTTCGCCGTATCCCTGCCCAGCTGCAGCGTCTCCGTTGCCTTCCCCACCACAGGCTGGAACTTGCTGGAGATGGTCTCCGTGGTCCTCCCAACCAGAGGCTTCATCTGCGTCGCGCCACTGTTGAGAATCTCCGAGGATTTTCGCACGTAAGGATGGTTCACGATCGGCTGCACCTTACTCTGCACCAGCTCTCGCCATGACTGCGCAGACTCCGCAGACTGATCCCTCATCTGCTCTGCAGTCTCTTCGACCTGGTCCCCCGTCCTCGACGCTTCGTTCTTGGCTAGATCCGCCGACCTCTTCCCTTCTTGCTCCATGGACGATTGCGGCGATGAGTTAAACCCCTGGTCCTCCATTGTCAGAAAAACCTCAACACCCCGTCTGAATTCTAGAACCTCCTTCGCGCAACTCACATGCAGCCCCAATTCCTCAACACACACACACGTCGTAAGAGTCTCGGAAATGGCTACACTGAGCACCGTCACCTACAAGAATAGGGACTGACTGGGTTCATCAAACGCAAATACTGGAGCATGGGGGTGAGGTGCCAGCGACTGTGGAATCGAGAGCCAGAGCCGCCACGTTGCAGCCGGGCACCAGGTGGAGGGAATCGGGAGCGGCGCCTACGCGCTGTGGAGAAAGGGGGAGCGATTCTCCACCGCTAGTAGATCAACATTTCTAAACCCATTGTTAGAACGCCCAAGGATTGTGTGCCGATCAAGCCTGCCATGTCTGAAATGACGGGAGCATGTTGCTGTTGGGAAGAACCTGGCGCAGCGTACCTTCCATGCAGCCCTGACCCACACCACGAAATGGTGGCAATGTGAGACCTTGTCTTAAGCCGCACTCTGGAATACACGTGTGGAAAGATTGCACTAAAAAATGCTTGTAGTCAATCCTCATTAGCCGATTAGGGCTGTTCGCTGGGATAGTAGCCATTCCATAGATGCAAATTGCGAGAATTGGACCCTGAAACCGTAAATAATCTTACACTGCGCCCAAATTGACCAGACTATCGCGTCAAAGCCATTCCTATCTGCGAAGCTATCCCTGAACGTGAAGTGTTTCTAGTTCTGTTTCTGTTTCTGAGTGATTCTTCGCTGCGAACCCCTGTGGCAACTACGAAGCATTGCGGGGCTGAAATCTTGGATCGCTTGTGTGTGCCTTCGGAACTCCGCCGCTGCTTTGGGGACTTTCTGTGCGTCGCATTTTACTTCTTGTTGTAGTAGCTTTTGTTGTGGTGCTTTGATCAGTTGTGGACAAGCACGCCATTTCATCTTTGCAGCTCCCGTGATGTGCTTGCGCTTTTATTGTCGACCTAATCGCTCCATCAGCCATGGATCTGATGGGCAAAATCAGGCTGCTCTAGGTTTCCAAGTTGACTATTGTTTCCTTCTGGCATTCCATACAATAGTCATACTATAGTGCCAAACAAGTATGCAAGGTTTATCAAACTAGAATATGAATTGTCAACTTTTTAGTATTATTTTTTAATTTTAGTTGGATTTTTTATTTTATTTTTTTGGTACTTTAAGGTCATTTCAAATTTGATGATTTAATGATTTTGCTATTAAATTTGGAAGAAGCAGTGGATTCTTAAAAAAATTAAAATTTTATTCATATGTAACATCTAAGATATTCCAAAAAACAATACTTCAATTATATTGATGTCTATGCTCAAGTAAGACACAACTATCTAACGAGGTTATTTACAAAATCAAAACTAAATTAAAAAATCTATAAAAAATGTTTATAATAGATGTTTATTCTATTTTAGTGTTTGGACAAGTCCAAATCCTCTATTTTACTCACCTATCATATTAGCCTTATTGTAAGGAGTCTAATTAAAGTTTATTAGCAATACTAATCAAAGTTTCTTCCTGCACAATTTATCTTAAATAATAATAATAATAATAATAAAAGAATTGTCATCTTTTGTGAGATAATAAGTGGTGCATGTATGAAGATTGATTCTATTCAAAGTCAACATTTTTTTCATTCTTTTTTCTTTTTTATATTTTCAGTGAAATTTAGTTTTTAATTTGAATTCAAAAAACCACATATTCTAAAATACAAGTTAATGTTTTTGAATTTGAATCATTGGATGTTTTTAGATTTTTATACAAATAAAAAAACAAAATTAGACTTAATTTCTAAAAGTCTATATTACAATTAGCAAATATATGTAGATTTAATTCTTAAACCTCTAATACCAAAAACAATTCTCTTGGTACTTATGTTATTTGTTTCTATTTCTATTGTTTATGTATTTCTAATTTTAAAATTTAGATAGACATAAAAATCTATCAACAACCTAAAATATATCTATTTAACTTGTATTAACTTATAATATACTATTAATATATCATTGTATTTAATATTATAAACAATTATATATTTGATTAAAATTAAAATACTAGAAAATATTGAAATATAAAATATAAAAAATATATCTGAAGTTAATTGATAATATTATACTTGACTGAAAAAATAGTAATCAAATTACTTGATTTTGTAAAAAAAACTTAAATAAAATATCTAATTAGATGTAATATCACAAACCGTTGTTTTTCTTCTTTAGATTGAATATATCAACGTCCAATTTGTTATAGTATTTTAACCACAATTTTTACAAATAAGACTCAAATATATATGTTGTATTGTTTGACATTAGTTGATTGTTTTACATTAAATCTTTAAAAAAATCAGACTTACTTAAATTAAATTTATGTAACATGCTAAATTATTTTTAAATTTTAAAATAAAATTATTGTAAATTATTTTTATTCAGAAACGACATAATTTTCAATTTAGTTTAACAAGGGAATAAGCCATGATTATAAATCTAGGGTTTGGTGCAGCCTTGGCTATGTCAAATACTATTAGTACTAATTTTATTGCAAGGTTATTTATTTGAATTATTGAATGGTTGTTGTAAAAGTTGAAAAAATGGAAGTGAAAATATTTTATTTTTAATAATCAAAAAAATTCTTTATTTTTTATCATAGTTTTTAATAATACTAATATCATCCTATGCAAATATAATATGCTATCATATTCCATTTCAATTAAGGGTCTAAAAAGCCAAAATTACAACAAGGAATAGAAAAGATGTTTACTTTGAGATAGTAGAAGCATGTGACAAATATTGAGAAGAAGGCAGTCTTTATTGAATTAAAGAATGACTGAGAAAAATCCTTCTTAATAAATATAGCTGCATTCATTTTGAGATTTTTTAATCAAAAAAAAAAAACAAACAAACAAACAAACAAACAAACAAACAAACAAAAACAAAACAAAACAAAACAAACAAAACTTCAAAAAATTGATGCTTATTCTAACCTTATGATTACTAAAATTGAAATTTTGCAAAAATAAGTTATACTTAGTTAGAAGTATATTGCCTTTTAAAAATTATTAAAAAAATCCATTTATTTCATAAAATTGAAAAGTGCTTCTTCTATTTGTAAAAAAAATTCAAACAATTTAAAAATTAAAAAAATTTGTTAAATCAAATCACTATTTTTTATTGGTCATTGTATAATATATGCACATTTCAACATTTGAATCCAATATTTGAAACCCATGCTGTATAAAGTTTAGATATGACAATCAATTTATATGCTCTTAAAATTCCAACTTCGATTACATGGAAAAAATTGTGAAAAAAATTCAAACCAAGTGTTATATAAAGTACTATTTGGCTTGAAGATATTCTTAGTAATGATCAATAAATTAGAATTTTATTAGAACCATGGTGCTGTGTTGATGTTAAAGAAAGTATTCAATAAAGGCTCAACATATCAATAATTAATCTTATTATGGAACAAAATAAATCTATTTAAATTGATTAGAACCACTAAAAATTAGATACCATTTTTATTTTGCAACTATATATCATATAAAAGAGTTTAGTACTTGTCAACTTTAAAGAATATATAAACAAGGTTTTTAATGCTAACAAGTATAAATAAGGATGATTATACAAAGATGTTAATTTAAAATATATATATATATATATATATATATATATATAATAGGAATATAGTATACAAAATACAAAGAGATAAGAGATAAGCATTGAAGCACAAATATGAGATGGATTTAAAAATAATAGTGATTTTTTAAATACTATAATTAGAATTATATATCTAAAAAATAAAAAATGACTTCTAGTTAAAACAAAAAGTAATGATCAAACTAATTGTAATATAATCATAATATACATTTGAATCAATATTATTGATTTAACTATTAAAATGCAACTATAAGAATATTTTTGACATGAATTAATCTAATAAAAAAATTCTACTTTAAAAAGAAAGAAACCATCACAAAAAGGATACTAATATTCTAATTGAGATAATATATTTTCCACTACAATTTTTAATATCTTTTAATTGCAAATTAACAAAAGAAGTAAATAATAGTTTGATGTTCTAAAATTTAATTATTTAGACGACCATTTAAATCCATAGGATTATATAAAAAGAAAAACAATGGTTTTGGATACATTACTATTTTAAAGTATCAATGATGAGACTTAAGATCAAACAATAATAGATTCAAATATTTATACAAATGAAATAAATAAATAAATAAATAAATAAATAATATAACTAATAACAAAATTTTAGTATAATATTAAGATGTTCAAGTAATTTTTTGAAATTATAAGTAGATAAGGTTTGATTTTTATTTTGGTTGCAAAATAATTATAAAAAAGATATATTAATAGACCTACTTGATATTACACCTCTTTTAGGCTTATATTAGAAATTGAAAGCTAATGTAATAGGTATCAATATAGATCAAATAAATTCTTAACCAATTAATAATTATAGATTAGATCCTAAAAACTAATATTCAAATAATTACCAAACATATGTTATTGTTAATGACAAAAACTTGAAAAATATAAATAAAAAACTATATATATTTTTTGAAAGGATGATTTTAAAATATATATATATATATATATATATATATATATATATATATTCAAAAATAAATTATAATAGCTATTTGCCAAATACTAAAAAATTAGAGATTCCTGAAACTTGACCAGAGGCAAGAAAAAAATTAAAAAGAGTCAGAAAGGTATCATTCTTGCCACTATATATACTATCTAATTGAGAGCTATGTGACAACATTCTATAGAATCTCCAACATGTGTCCACCTTATAAGACATGTGTCTAAATTGTAAGATAAGCTTCTTATATATACATTACATGTCCAACTTGTATCACTAGTAGCCAACATGTGCTATATATGGCCAACTTATTGGCTAAGTTTTCAACTTATCAATCACCTATTGACAAATATAAAGACAATTTTTTTGAAGGTATTCATCTCTATTACGTTATTTTGAAGGTTGTGACAATTATAATATCTTGTATGGTAACTCAAAAAATGATAGCTATTGAATTGAATCTTTGGTTGTTGATTCTTAATCTCTTAAGTAACAAAAACATAAGGAAACCAAAATCAAAGATAGAGGATAGAATGTAAGCTTTACTAAACTTTTTTTTTTTTGTAGCAAGGAATTACTTAATTATTCATCTTGGTTTTAATATGTGTTTTTGATTAAAAAATTTGATCTTTTGTATTGTATTTGGAAGATTCTTAGATAGATCTTATATACATTTATTAATATTATATCTATGCTAATATACAAGTTATTCCAATCTATTTGACATTACTTTAAATCTAAAATTTCTTCAACTTCAAATTCTTGATTATTGTCTATTTTTATAGAAAGAAGTAGCATTTGTGTTCTTTCCAAGATATTCACTATTGTGTATGACTCAAGAAGTGATACATCGAATATCGGATGGATCTTTATAAACTCTTCTGTATATAAAGAATAAGCAATTGGATTGATTTATTCATTAATAGAAAATGGTTTAAGTTTATAGTAATTCAACTTATCACAATACCAATTAATCTTGATATTATGATAGAGTTATTACATCTTATTTCCAACATTGAATTAATATTGTTTTTTGCAATAAAAATCTATATTGATCCTGTATTATTCTTAAGTTTCTTTAAATTATACTTTTATTATTGCATGTAGCTTTAATATAAAATTTATCAAATTTTAAAAATTCAAAAATATTAAATTATGGATGATAATTATAACTAGCAAAAAAAAAAGATGTTGATTGAGTAGAATAATGTATTGTATTATTGAAAAAAAAAAAAAAAAAAAAAAAAAAAAAAAAAAAACTAGCAATGGCAAAAAAGTTGCCTAATGCTTTTGATAATAACAAATGATATATCTCAAATACTACTTCAAATCTTGGTTCATCGATTTTGTTTGTTTATTTTTTTTAAATTAAAGAACTATAGATAATTTTATATTCACTTTTAATATCTTGGAAAAGGTTCTTCAAAACTTCAATACAAATTGGGTCTTTTTATTGGATATAATATCTCTTGGCAATCCATGATAATAATAAATATTATTACAATAAATATTATTAGTAAAAAGTTTACTTAGTTATTCACATATGATATTTTTGCATATGGTACAAAATGTGCAATCTTTGTAAAAGAATCTACAATCACATATATAATCATAAGAATTTGAGATTGAAAAATCTATGATAAAACCATAGAAAGGAAATAGTATAATTGTATTGGTATAAATAGAAGTTTTATTATAATATTTAAAAATAAATAAACTATGAAGACCTTTAAGATTTATATTGTGATTAGAGTAGATAAATTTAAGCAATAATATTTTTTTTATCAAATCAAAGCACAAAAAATATTCCAATATATATATATATATATATATATATATATATAAGAAAAATGTTAAAATAATCCAAGCTTTTACTAAATTGATCCACTTATCTAAACCATCATTATATCTTTCATTCCTTATTTTTGTTCCCTTTGTTCTTAGTTCCCATTCTTAGCTCAAATCCACCACCCATGTTCCCAATGCTCATCCTTCATTCTCCCTTCCCTATTCTTAGTTGTGTTCTTTTTCTTTCTTTTTTTTTTTTTGAGATGAAAGTGTGCACTATCATTTATTACATCTTGTTATGATATGTTGTAAATGCATATGCAGAGCACCTAATAACATATTACACAAGGAGGCGATTCATAAATGTGTGTGATGCTACAAACTAATTGAAACAATTAAGTAAGAGATTAAAATTGAGGAGGTCCAAAGCAAATTATTGAAAATAATAAAAAAAAAAAGTATTAAAATTTACACAAAGATCTCTCTATAGAATAACAAGTTAGTTAGACATACCAATTCTAACAAGAAGGCAAACAGGGTTCCAGAAAATTAACCTACAAGGATTGCTTACTAATCAGAGATACTATTGTCCAAAAGTTTAGCACCACTTCATGTGCTGAAGGGAAGCACATCAAACCAAGTTATGAAACTATAAATGATTCTATTTCCGAAAGCAAGCAGGGCAAGAATTGTACATACAGTTTAGACATGTGGGTCGATTTGGTAAAAGTTTGGGTCATTTTAACATTTCCCTAAATTAAAGAAAAAATTAGATTAAATTAACTTAAATTGTTTGGTTGAATTTCATGGTATTTAAAAGATAGCTATGCATTAAATTCTCTCAAAAAATCATATTTTCATATCAAGAAATCATCTTGATGTTCAACAATTTAACTTTATGTACTATTCTTTTTCTTTTGCTTTAATTGTATATCTAAAAAAATGCAGAAGTTTTAGCAATCCAATTCTTCGTTGGACACATCATACTACATTCATCTTCCGGCAGGTTCGTTCATACTCCTCCCTATCCGGCACACTTCATGGATTCACAATAAGATCGTTATGGGATGACTCGGCAGCCATGTTCTGTGGAACAACTGAGAGCTGTTGACATAAATGAGTGATTTGCCCGCTCCGATTGCCATGGGTCCTGTCGCACGGATCGCTCATGCTAGACTTACGCTGGCTAGGCAGCGATTCACAAGGCAAATTGCATGAGTACACATCCTACAATCTTTCATTTTGCCATATTCCTCTCCATAAAGGTTTCGTTTCCACAGGAAGCCTTGCAATGCATTTTACAGAAATATAGTAAAGTGGAGCGTCCAAACAAGCAATCCCACATTGACTTTCGGCAGAAATATCTGCCTTCTTGCAAGGAATAGCCAAAGAGCTGTCACCGTGATAGGAAACTGGGTAATGAAGTTGGATGGGGCCATGATGCCTTTTACGCAGCTTGCAATATGAAACGTTAGTCGATTCACGTTTCCTCCGGGCATGCCACATGTGGTGACAATGAAACACGGCGAGTCCCCTGCACGTGAGCGTTTCCTCGCAACTGAACACATGATAGAAATTGCATGAATGGTTGGTGTTATTGAAGGTAAGAGAATGAATACCAGGTTTAGATAAATTACATTGTCAGAGCTAAATCATGAGGTTCTAGACATCTTGATCCTTGTGGTAAAAGTAGTTTCCTATTATCTCCATACTGAATGGAGATTTGGCCACTATCATTAATCGCAGAGGACTGACCATAATTCATCTGTAACAAGCATTACAGAACGAAGAGAGCCAAAGGTTGAGGTGGTCGAGGCTGAGCCGAAATACCATCTCACGATCACGTTCTCGACATCAATTCTGAAAAGAATTCATGAACAAAGCTAAGAGTGAGGGCACCATCAAGTTGTGCGTGTGGTGTGTTGTATGAGAGAGAGTTTCCTGAATTTTAGCTGCTGTTGCATCCACTCCCATCCTTCCTCCCCTACCTCGCCTCCAAGTCCCCGAACAACTGCTCCTCCTGTACAGCACCCCATGTTACAGCAGTCTTCGAGAGAGAAATTGTTCAAAACGCCGTACAAAAACCCGCTGGCAAATAGGTCCCCCGCTCCTGTGGTATCGACCGCAATCGTCTCTTTGATAGCTGGGACCCTCACGGTCTCGTTGCCATGACGAGCAATGCAACCTTTAGAGCCCAGCATTACCACTGCTCTCTCGCAATACTTTGACAGGAAATTCAAGCACGTCTCTGGACAAGGGTTCTGTTCCGCCTTGATAAGCTCCCTAGCTTCGTCTTCGTTGGCAAACACGAGGTCGACTTTGCGAGATTCGAGCAGCCTCATAAGAGTAGGGCGAAAATTCCTCACAACTTCAAAGCTAGCGAGGTCCATGGACACTTTTACGCCCTCCTCCTTACACAGATCCACTGCACGTTCAAGGAGATCCTCGCCATAAAAACCATATCCGTTTAAAACTACCCATTTAGCACCCTTAAAGTCCTCCCCAGTCAACTCTTCCGATTGCAGACGGACAGCATTGAGGAAGCATGGCCGCATGGTTCGATTCCCCTCTGCATCCACAAGACAAGCACACTGGGCTGTCAACCCCGGGACAGCCCGCAACCGAGACAGGTCCACCCCAGCATGGGCCATGTTCTCTGCAAACATTTCACCTCTATCGTCAGTGCCGCGGACTCCCACAAGAGCCGTCTTCACTCCCAATCCATGGGCCAACCCTCTGATGGTGTTGGCCACGCTTCCACCGGCTAGGGTTTTCACTCCCTGTTCCACAACTCCATTCGCACTCATCAAGAAATGCGAATTCACCTCCCGGAGAATGTGATCCAGCTCCTCCTCCGTGACACGCATGGATCCTCCTCGTTCGCCAGGAACAGACTCCAGCAGCGACCAATCCACGCGCGCGACGTGGTCAACCAGAGCTACAGGCTGCAATCCTACAACATCAGGGCACACCAAATGTATATCACGAGGGCCACATTCACCCCCGTTTTCGAGCCCACTCGCGCCCCTGTTCTCATGCATGCCGCCATTAGAATCCGCCTCCCCCACACATGCAAAATTGCCCAGCGCAGATCCACCTTGCACCACAAACTCCGAATCTCGCGAGACGACACCGATGCAGGAGTGGGGAATAGCGGCGGCGGCAGCATAATCCAGGGCGTCGCCGCCACCGCCGCCGCTCTCACGAGCACCAGCACCATTCGCCGACGAACTTCCCCCAATCTTCACCGATTCTGGACCGAATCGGCTCGTTGTTGAGCCGTCGGAGGGGGCAACAACGGCACTGGCGGAATGTGGGGCGGGAACACCCTGAGAAGCTGCCTCGGACGGGTCCTCGGAGAGCAAGATCGTCCCCATAGCTACGCAGAGCGAGGGGGAGTTCCACACTCTCCTCGGCAACTTGGATGGCGAGGGAGAGGCCAGCCTTCGCGGTTCCTCTTCATCGGTTTTGTTCAGGTGCTCACCGATGATCTCCGGTCCCGCCTCCTCTCAAACCGCCACCTGTCGGTCTCCAAGTGGCTAACCTTCGTGGCTGCTTCCCTTCGGCCACGTGGGTCGAATCTTTTTGGTCCACAAGGAATCGACGTCTTTGTTGTTCGTTTTTTGGGACTGAATGCTAAAGACGTTGATTCTTCAAAAGTTGTTAGATGGAGAAAGTGACGCATTGCACTTTCATAACTTGTTTTCTACTTCATGAACGGGCATTTAAATTTTGTGCGTGAGGAGTCAAAAACTCAAGTCTATTAAAATATAAAATGTTTTATTTGGGGGATTTAGATTTTTTTGTACAAGATTTTAGAATGTAATAATTGTTTGCATCTTCAAGATTCTTGTGTAAATAAAATAAGATGAATGTGTGTTCGTAAAAACGGTTTAAAAATTCAAAAGTTGCTGCAGACCTTTTAAAATGTTATTGGGTTTTTATGAAGAACAAAAATTTGCCAATTTATTTTGATTATCAATTACAAAATTAATTATTTAAAGATGCATGAATATGAGCTAAAACTTTGAAAAATCATGGAAATTACATATAAATTTTAATTCATTAGAAATAAAACCTTTCAATAAATCTTTTTTGTATACATAATATTTTTAAGTAAAAAAATCGTATAAAAAACCAAAAAATATATAAATTAGTTATTTGTATTAAAAATCAAATAATTTTTATAAGAGCATGTAGAAAATAAAACTAAAATAGACATTAAAAATTGAGGCTTTAGTGATGAAATATTTGTAAAATATATATAACCAAGGTATTATAATAGTTTGATAATAGTATTCTGACAAAACTTACAATTACTTATTTAAAGCAAGATCTTGTATGAATTATGTGTATTTATATTAAGAATTTAGTAATGTACAATTTATTATAGATACTACAAAAACTTGGTAGTATAAAATAACTAGATTCATTCTTACAACTATGATACAATCTACAACAAACATATTGATTTAAAAGATTTATTAATTATAAGAGTTCAATTATAATAATTTAATTTTGAATTATCATTAATTTCTTGGATGCAATATTATAAAATAAAACATTCTTATGACTTCTTAGTTTTTATTCCATTCTTTAATATACATATTTAATAAATAAAAAATTACAATACAAGTCTATTTTGTATCAAATTGAATTGTAAATTAAACAATAAGTCTATGATTGATATGAAAATAAAAATAATTCTAGATTACAAATACAATTCAATCCTTGGTCATTTTACATTTTAATAATGATAAAAAATTAACTATTAAAACTCATAAGTTAATAAAATAATCTATATTTTAAAAATAAAAACCAATAGAATTATCATTACTTTAAATATTTTAAATTTTATTATTTTAATATAATGACTTCAAAGGTTTGTCATGGACATACATATTTACCTTGATAATTATTTACATAACAAGAATAGGTAGAAGTAAGTCAAAGTAGATAAATATGATAATATCCTGTAGAAAGCTTCTTAGAAGCTTCATAGATGATGCTTTGCCTTCATACATATCTATAGGTGATTGATAGGTTGAAAACTTGGCCAACAAGGAGGTCACGTGTCGACATGTTGACCACTTATAGTACAAGTTGGACATATGGCGCACACCTAAGAAACTTGCTTTGGAAATTAGACATGTATCTTACAAGTTGGATGTGTATTAGAGGTCCTATAGCATGTCGCCACATAATTCTTAGTTAAGTAGTATATATAGAGGCAAGAGTGAGGCCTTCTTCACTCTTATCAACTCCTTTCTTGCTTTTAGTCTAATTTCAAGAGTCTTATGTTTTCTAGTCTTTGGCAATAGCCATCCCAGTTCTTCCTTGAACATACACACTTTCTTTTATTTTGTCACTTTCCTTTTAAGACAAATTTCACAAGTTTATGTATCTTCTTTTAGTTTGTATCCTTGACAAGGTTATAACAAATAAATTTATGTAGTTATTATCTTTTATCATGTCTAATTAGATTGAGATTAATATTGAATTAATTAGAAGTTATTAAAGATAGTGATTTAATTAAAAATCACTTATGAAAGTAAAGACTTAGGAGATTAGATAAATATTTAATATATATATATATATATATATATATATATATTCATACGTAAAAACATATATATATATATATATATATATATATATATAAATATTTGATTATAGATTATATATTTATATACATTATAATTTATTTATATCTTCTAATACTTCATTGAAATAGGACTAGTCTATTTTGAGAGTCTAAAACTCTTTTAATCTACAACCATATAAAACCTCATCAAAAAATAGGATAAAATGGACTAGAACAAAACTAAACAGAATGAAACAAAATAGGATATAAAAGACAAAACTTTGCAAATGAAAATAGAACAAAATAGAATTGAATAGAAAGATACAAAACTAAACTTTATTAAGAGAGAAGGTCCAAAGCCATACCATACTAGATACCTAGAAGACCTTGGCTAGTCCTATTTATACTTTGTTCTACTACCTTGGACTTTCTAGAATGTTTTTGAATGATGGATCCCACTTGGATAACCGCCCTAAATTCCTTCTAAAAGGTTCTTTGATGGACCCCACTTAGATAATTGCCTTAAGCTCTTTCTAGAATGTTCCATATTAGATTCTACATGATCTACTAACCTAGTCTTAATTCTAAAAACTTCCATAACTTCTCAAGCATAGTTCCAACTATCTATCTCTATATGTCAACAATATAAACATCTTATCTATACCCCATTACATTCAAGATGTTTTAAAGAGTTATAAAGTATTAAATTATTTACCTAAATAAATCATCACTTCCAACTTACTTAAAGATCTAATAATGTATATTTTTGCTTTTCAATTCTTACAAAGTTATGTCAATTATGAATGAAGTTTTGAAAAATGAGAAAGGAAAAAAATACTAATAACTTAAATTTCACATATCTTGCATGGCACTTTAATTTTATTCTTATTATAGTAAAAATCAATAGAATGTATATAGATCTACAGACAATAAAGTTCTACAATCACTTAGAAATTAGTATTGTATATTTTATGAAAATTTGTAGAAGTACATCCATACATAAATAAATAATCACACGTTTTAGAACAAATTGTTATGAAATATAATTTTAGAATAAATTTATTATTTTTAATATAAAATTACAGCTTTATTTTATTTTATCTTAAAAAACTTAAAATACAAGATATCTATATTTATATATACATTCACAAATATGTACTTGATAATACACTTCACACATAAATTTTATTGGCCATACAAATAATATTGTTTTAAAATACCAATATTCATACATACATTCACAAATACATACTTGATAATACACTTCACACACAAGTTTTATTGGCCATACAAATATTATTATTTTAAAATATCAATATAGCAAACAAAGAATTTAACATTTTCCATAATATATTCATTGAAAGTGTTTTCAAAATCTTAAATCATATTTTTGCAATTCCTTCTTTGAAATTTATATATGAATGAAAAAAGTACCAAATCCAAACTCTGCACAAAATTTCAACAAAACTTATATTCACTATTTATTCTAAGATAAAATCCTCTCAGCTTAAAAACTCTGAATAATTATATGATAGATATTTTCTACACAAAATTAATTATAAATCAATATTTGTTTGAGAGTGAAGGATATTGAATGAGACAATCTACAACACCTTGTTTACTGTAGTTCCACAACAAATCATGCATGGAAATTCATGGCTACACTAAACCTAAGTAGTAATTTTATCCTCGCTGGGTGTACAGTGACGTCCACACATTGCCTCTCTGGCTTCGGAGCAGAAAACAACACAAGAGCCTCAAATCACATAAACTTTCATCCAGACAGGAATTGTATTGTTACGAACTTGTAGGTAAGCGTGTAGAGTCCAAATGAGCAAAGAATGGAGTAGGGCAGAGCCATGAGTACCAATGAACAACTGGAAGGACAATTTTTTTATAAATCCACAAATAATGCCCTTTGAAGATCACTAATAGCTAGGAATACCCTCGTACCACATACATAAGCTTCCCTTATAAGTAAGCTCACAATCCGCAAGTGCCTCTAAAGCAAGCCTTTCAATCAACCAATTCAATAATTACAGTCCTAGATTACAAAACTCGTATAAGACTAAGCTGCAGTGATTTAAGATACATACCGAAAGCACTGGGCTGTCGACTATTTGCTTGATGAGAATTTCGTCATTTTTTCATCATCCAGCTGATGCAACACACATCTTCTAAGGACTTGCGGGACTTCTGATACGTCAAAATGCTTACATACCATGATTTAAGCCAAGGAGCTCATCGTACTGAGCCGTTGTGTTTTGTAGAGCTTTATGATAGGAAGCTTAGAAGCAAATAGGTGTCGCGCTGCCTTCGTTTACTTGAATGAACATCAGCAGTCCACATTGACATCTGATGGATAAGTCCTATGATGCGAGATTCGGCACAGATCTTTGATGTTTCTGTAAATGAGTTCCTGAAGCACACAAACAATGATGCACGACACTTGATCGTTGAAAGACATAACCCGAGCAGAGAGCAAACAAACGTGATTCTACTGTGAATTCTACTCAAGAGGGAGAAGGTGTAAAAGCTAAAGAAGAAAACTAGCTCAAAACTGTACATCGCCAAAGAAACCTCCCAGAGAAAGATTCGAAAAACTGAGGTTGGAACAGACCATGACATTAATTTCTTGACAATGAGCGTCGAATCACTAAAAGACAGGATACAAACAAGCACAGGAATGCACAACGCATGCAAATCGAATCACACTAGACCGAGTGAATATAGAGTTTCACAGAAACTTCATCTAGTACAAACGAAACATAAAGAAAATAATATTGCTGCACGGAGGTGTAATGCTCACCTTCATATAGAAAGTCCAGGCCGCAATATTGCCGTATCACCAGCTTGGTTTTTGGATCGACCACAACATCACAAGAAACATGCACCTGCACAAAAATTGTAACGGTATTATTTGAAGGAAATCCTTTGTGATTTGCACCTAAGAGGAGAGATAACACTAAAACTAAAACTATATCCCAGCTTACGTGCTTTGAGATGTGATTGGTAACAAACTAATGGCGTAAGTAGATGACAAGGTTAGAACCACGTACGTCGATGTGCGGTCGGACGACCTGGAGGTCCACGGCTCCAACGATTTTAATGTGATTCGTCAACGGAATCTCTCCGTGTGCAATATCCATCAGCAGTTCGGAAGCATTCTCCAGTATTTCTCTTGCCTCTAGGTTCAGAATCGCAGGCACTAGCACTGTTCTTCGCGCCAGAATGTGGCCTCCTTTCAGCTGGGCATTGCCAAGATAAGAACCTCTGTACTGAATCTCCACGTCTAAGAAATCGTAATAGATGCCGACGAAGTTAGGGTTCTTTATTTTCAACACGACGTCGAGGCTTATGTTAAGATACACCACTGGAATGATCGATCTCCCTTCCTCTTTCGTATCAAAGTTGATGCCGACCAGCTTCCAATGCTCCAGTTCAATTTGCGGCTGTGCTGGCCACAAGACGAAGGCTGTGCCCGCAAGAAGAAGGCATGAAAACAGTATAATGATCGGCATGATGATAGTCTGTGCCCTAAGGACTCGTCGCCGGGGACGATACAAAGGCAAATCGAGAACTGCATCGGTTGGCAGTACATAGTACCTTCTCTCTTCTATTACAATCGGTGCTCTTTCTTCCATCTCCGAGTACCCCATGGACCTCAAAGGATCTCCCCACACAAAACCCTCTGCTCCTAACCTCGCCGCTTCAGGTTTTCATAAACAAAGCAACAACCAGGATATCTAAGAACCAGTTATTCCCCTCCCCTGTTTCCCCGCCAATCCGCTCTTCGCCTTAAAACTCAGCACACATAACTGAATCTTCTACAACGAACAATTGGATTCTGGAAATCAAGTCAAATTCACCAAAAAATCCCTAATTCTTCACCTCCGACGCCTCTGAATCGCTAAATTACCTGTTAAGCAACTTCAATGTCAGCATCTCTTTCCAAAAACTTCCGCTACTCCACTCCAAACCAATAAGATCGCAATTGATCAGGACTGCTTCAGCCTTAACAACAGTTGAACAGGAAACCACAACAAACAACCTGTACACCGTAATCTACGACGCAACAAAACAGCACTTCACGATTTCACCATACCAAAGGAGCCGTGGCTTGACTCGAAGCCTTAAGAGTGCGAAAAGCTCAAATGCGGCGCGAATTCCATGCCCGTTGCAGACAACCTCCAAAATTGAGCAGAGTGTGACAATGAAGGCGAGGCTCGAGCTTATCAGAAAGCAATCAACGAAGACGAATCTTGGTGTAAAATAGAAAGTGGTTCAATAATATTCGCATGGTGATATGTGTGTGAACACATATACCCGGCTAAGGGAGGAACGACTCAACCCAGATATCAATCCAATCCTATTGTGTTGCAGAGAATGAACTTCTCCTACCGACAGTCTTTTTCTACCTTAAACCTAACACTTGACCTAAAAGTTGATTCCTTCAGAGCAGAAAAGTATCCTTCTGCTTTGTTGCATCTTGCTAGGTTATCCACAGTTCTCTTTACTGAAAAAGCATGAGATTATGTTTTATTTACTTGTATTACACTTGAATGAATTCAGGAGCATATAATACTTCCATGATTTTACAAAACTTCCTAATATTTTTTTAATTTGCATACACACACATATCTGTGCAGATGCGTAAGTTTTAAAGTCATCTTTTGGAAACTCAGAAAGAGACAATAATAAGGATATGGTTTGCTTTCCCTCTTTAAAGATTCATTACGATGAATTGGTGAGGTACAAGGCAATGAAATTAGCATTTGAGGCATCAAAAAAATATCCCTATATTAGGAGACATTTAGAATAAATATTTTTGTAGGAACTGTTCATTTGATTTAAAATTTTGGATAGGTTCAAATTTTTAGTTTGCTTGTTGAGCTTGGTGACCCAGAGATGATAAGAGTATCTAAGAGATGGTCGTCTAAGCGAAGTTACAATATTTTAAAAAATATATGATATTCGTGAAATAAATTAGTAAAGGAAGTTGAACATCTTGATTCCATTGTCATTTGAGTTTAATTCTAACCCCTCATATGCATTGCGACTTTTCTTTACTATGCACACAATACATTCTGATACATGTACTAGTTTTGAAATTAAACCACAAATAATGAAAGAAAGCTTTTGAGTTGACTCAATTCCACGAATAATATTATGTATAATGGTATACATCCTCATAGTTTAGTTTAAAGGTAGTTATGTACAAATATTATAATTAAATAGGACTATTTTTATTTTTTTTATCCTTGAAATCACAAGCTAACAACAATAAAACAAACCGTTAATAATTATTAAAAATAATAATTTAATATTTTTTATAATAACTAACTATAGTTTATTTACATATATACATAAATATACAAACATATTTAATTTTTCTATTATGCCATGTTGGTCATACATGCAACCAATTAAACATTATGGCCAATATGATTAGTAAGTGTTGACGTAATTATTTTGATAAGAAATTAGGCCTTGTAATTTACCTGCACTTGTTCATATAATACACTTTCATTGAAAAATAATTTTCAACAAGAATAAGTTGGTATTATTTTTATGATCAGAAGTTAAATCTATTTTATAGTTTTTACGTTTTACCAAGTAAAATAAAATAAAAAATATTATTATTATCATTAATTCATGGGATGAGATAATCAATACACATGCATACATGTTCCCCTGTTCAGTCTAGAATCTACTCACCAGCCGACGGACAGGATGAACCCCGAGCCTCATCCAGGAAAATCATCAAAGGGTTTCATCCTAGAAGCATTCATCCAAAGGTTTATCCATGATAGAATCGCTGGCCCCGGACTGGAGATGTCCAGAGCTTGCTTCCCAGTCTCTCTCTCAGCCTCGACAATTCCACTCTCCCCTCCTCAATTGCGTGCCTCGGATTGCTGTCTGCTGCTGGGAAAATTGAGTGCAGCCGAGTTGTGGAGTTGCACTTCCTCAATTCTTCTCCTATTCGTATTTTTCTTGCGTTTTTTTCTTGGTAGGAGTGATGTTTTTGAGGTTGTAGCGAGAAGAGGTTAGGTGCAGCATATAGGACGGCGATGGCGATGGCGTTGCGAGCGTCTATGGCTGTTGGAGGGAGATTTTCCAGTGATCGTTCTCTTTCCTCGAATTTTGTGTCTGCTCCTGGAGCAGCAGCGGAGTCTGTCGCGCTAGGACGGCAATTATTTTTGGGATGTACGCAGAGTCTAAGGTGTTTCGTTCCTCCCAATTGCCGTTCCGTGCCGAATGGCAAACGTCTATTGACTACGGCGGTTATAAAGAGACAAAAGGATTACAAGCTAGACGCTGTGATTCAGGGCGAGAAGAAGTTGAAGCGCGTGCAGAAGATTAAGGATATTCTTGTGAAGCAACCTGGACAGGTTATGTCGTTGCGAGATTTAGGAAAGTTTAGGAGACAATTAGGGTTAGACGGGAAGAAGAAGGTTATTGCATTGCTGAGAAAATTTCCAGCGGTGTTTGAAGTTTACGAGGAAGGGTGCACTGCGAAGTATTTTAGGTTTACACCTGTAGCTAAGAAGCAGTATCGTGAGGAAGCGAGGTTGAAGAAGGAGGTGGAGGATGTTGCAGTGACCAGATTGAGAAAATTGTTGATGATGTCGGTTGATAAAAGTATTGCGATTCAAAAGATTAAACATATCAGGCGAGACCTAGGATTGCCTGATGATTTTGATAAATCTGATTTCCTTAGTAGACATAGTCAGTATTTCAAGGTCGGGACATGTGCTCTTGGTCCTCTTTTGATCCTTGAGGAGTGGGATCCAGCGCTGGCAGTCACAGCTCTAGAGAAAGCTGCCCAGGAAAAGGTGAGAGCTCGACAAGAACTAGAGGAGGAGCTGGCAAGGAGTTTAGGAGAGGAAATAGAAGAGGAGGAGTCTTTGCTTGCACGAACTCCAAGGTTTCAATCCAAAAAAACCCTGAACCTGCCTAAGGGTCAACAAGTGAAGAAGGCGGACAGGTTAAGGCTTCTCAAATTTCAGGAGCTGCCTTCGATTTCTCCGTATGCTGATAAAACTGACTTGGATCGCGCGTCGCCTGTGGCTGAGAAGGCTGCTGTGTTGGTTGTACACGAGCTTTTGAGTTTGACGTCGGAGAAGAAGATATTGGTGGATCATCTTACTCATTTTAGAAGTGACTTCAAGTTCTCTCAGAGAATACGGAGCATGCTCATCAGGCATCCTGAGTATTTCTATGTATCTCTGAAAGGCACTCGTGACAGCGTATTCCTCCGTGAAGCATATCAGGACTCGGAGTTGAAAGAGAAAGATGTTTTGGTTTTGCTGAAAGAACGCCTTCTGGAGCTGGTTAAGAATGAGAAGCTGGACGAAGTGAGTGACGGTGACGAAGACGACGATGACGAAGTAGGCGATGACAACTGGGACGATGACGACGATGACGACGACGATAATCTCGTGGGTGTAGCAGGAATGGCCTCTGTGCAACCGCAGAAATGGCAGGTGCCAACTGCTCCAAAGGAGCGTTGGTGAGCTTTTTCGGTGAGTTTAGCATTAAGTTTTAGTTTACACGTCTTCTAGTCTATTGTTTAATTTTCTCGCCAGGCGAGTGAGAATATGAGTTAATGTTATTCCTCGAGGCCTGAATATTCCTTCGGAGTTGTTCCTATCATGTAGCAAATTGGATACTGCCAGACACGCCAGGAACTTGGAAGAGCTCTTGCAATCCGTTCTGTAATTATAATCCAAGATAAAAGTACAAAATTAGAATTTTTCTTCAGAATAAACCAAACAAGGAACCACCCCTACGCGGGTCTGAATTTGAATCTGGTACCTGGATAATTGCTCTGTCGGGGGTTCCGCAGGATGCAGCCCTCTCTAACGTAGGCGCAAATGTTCCAGATGATGGGGTCCGACAAACTTCGTTCTCCTCAGAAGCGTACGCATCTCCAGCTTGTGATGTGCTTGAACTCCTCACCCAACGATCCTCCACTTAGTTGAGACCTTCGCTAGGGTGTGATTTAAATGAAGCAAAGGTAATTCCCAACTCTAGACAATTTCCAGCATTGAGAGATTCAAAGAGCAAGCTAAAGAACTCTGCATTCATTTCGGGCACTATACCCATGGAACACATCGGATCCAACTTCTCGAAGTGAACCCACATGCTAAGATCTCACCCTTTTCCTGAGTATCTGTCACCCGAGTGTGAGCATCGATGATCCAGCGACAACTAAGTCCTGGAAGTGTGAGCACCAGGTCCACATTCAACAAAGTTTTTTCGAACATCACACAAGCAATGTTCCTTTTGTATTCCAAATTTTTTGATTCCGAAAAGAGTTCATAGTCAACAGCTGCAATCAAATTTTTCGCAGGTATGGCTGGAATCAGAGAAATGCTTTCTCTGGTTAAACTCCAGGAAGTATTCATGAAGTGGATTGATTCTCGACCACCATGCATGGTCATGCTTTCTCTCAGTGTAGCTTCACACCCAATGCGACTCACATGCAACTAATGAAATTGTCTAAGGAAGTGGATACTGTACTACCACTCATCTTTTACTTTCTCTTTTGTCCATGCACAGAAGGTTTCTATAAGTAAGCTCATGTCACGTTGTGGGAAGCACCACAATCATAAATATGAAAAATAAAATGAATTCATCCAGTTTTATTCTGGTATTTTACCGAATTCCTTCACCCTTTTATGATTGAAGATTTTGCAGGACAAAAGAACTATCTTGGAAATATAAAATTGTTACTTCATTTCTAATTAAAAGTAGATGGTTGAAATTTGATACAACATTGTAGTTTAAGAACATAGATACAACAAACTTGGAAATCCATAAATTATAGTCTATATATAATTAATAAAAAAAATTCTTGAATATAAGGTTACATGTTGAGACTATATTTATGAAAATGTTACTTAAATAAACTCATTTGAAAAAAAAATTACTTTGCTAAAAATGAGTTGCATTACAGTCAAGATATTACTTGAAAGTTTATTACAAGTTGTAATATAACATTATTAATGGAGGAAAATAAACATGAGGATATTTATAAACATATTAGATCATATCATGATCCGAAATATCATATGTTGAAATCTGAATAAAACTAATTATTAATTTAATATCAACATTGTTCAAAATATATTATTCATGATAGTTGAAAATAAATTCAGAATAGATAAATAAAGAGCCTAAAATGAATTATAATATATTTTTTTAAATTGCATCTATTTTCAATACACATATGTATGAAATAAAAATTATTGAAAATCACTCAAAAAATAAGACCAAAAATTAAAAATTCACTTAGAAGAATAAACAATCTGTCAGAAATGACACTGTGTGATTTCTAGATAAGTGCAACTGCTACATATCAATATATCAAAGAGTAAATTTTAAAAAAATATTATCATGGTATAATACTAAATAATAAGATATGAATTTTTATATGAATTTTTAGATGATATATATATATATATATATATAGATAAGATTTCCTGATATATGATTATAGTTCTATGCTGAAACATTACATAGATAATATACATTTTTATTTATTTTTAGTTATGTTCTACACATTATTGAACTTAATTTTGCTTTCATTGTTAAATTAGACAAAAAAATAAAAAAGAAAACTCTCCAAGTAAGAATGTGCTATTTCATTCAATTATGACACACAACTTAATTTTTTAAAATACATAATATTAGTTTTTAAAATTAAAAATCAACAATGTCTATTAAAAAAAATTAAATAAATCTCATGAATAAGAAAAGATAGTCCAAATCTTGTAGAATTACTACACATGTGAATCTTATCCATCCTTTCAATAATCATTAATAAATAAATAAAAATCTCTCATATAAAACACATCAAGTGGGACAAATACACAAGATAAATAAGAGTAAACAAGAACCTTCTCTCATTGGCTGCATGCTTCATTGTTTTCATCAAAAGTGAAGCAAAAGTTTAGAGATTTACAAGGCCCTAACAACACATATGATTCACTTCTACTTCAAAAAAGGATCTTTGTACTTGAGATCATTTGATGTTGTTGTGGAGTTTATGCCCACTTTCAAAACTAAATAGGTTGAATATATCATATATAAATAAATGAAACATGATATTAAAAGCTTGAAATTTAAGTTGTGCCTTCTGGATTTTTAGACTAGGTTATTAATAGAAAATTGCCTTGAGAGGTGTGTTTAAAGATCATTATCTATGACACTCATGGTTGAAAGAAGTTGTTGTGTTTGCAATGATGCAAGTTGTTTGTTTGGAGTGTGTGAGACTTGAGTTTATTGACCAGTTTATTTCATAGCTTAATAGGAGCGTCTATTTTAGGGGGTAATAGAAGTTGATATGAACCTGTGGATAGGATTCCACTACAAGTTGGTCACGCAACAGATGAGGTAGTAATAAAATGAGAGGCAGAAGAGTTGGGCGATGTGATGAAGACTTTAGAGAACTGGACATTGGATTCTAAACAAGGAATAAACATTATTGATGTATTATGAAATCCATGAAAAATGACAAAATGAAATCCATGCAAGTCAAACCTATAGATTGGGTAGTGAGGCTATCATAGTTTCTTAAAAGAAGTCAAGAATATCTGATATATAATGCAGTTTAGATGCAATTGACTTGAAGAAAGTCTTGAGATGAGCATAACATTAAGCATGTCTCTATTTTTTGTCTCATGCAGATATGACTTTTAGCATTAAGTACTTGCAATTTTGTAATTTGTCTTTTTTTTCTCAACATTTATCTTCAACATGTTTTTGTAAGTAAGTTGTTTAAGTATGCTTTATCATACTTGCATATATAAAGAATAGATTGCACTGTACTATGGTGCTCAAGGAATATGACTGTCACAATTTGCTAGAGACATTATTTTGCTGTTGTAAATAGCAAAAGCAATCAGCAAATGTATTTAAAAAGCATTCAAGCAATTGCCACAAATGCAATTATTGACAAATAGATTTGCAATTATAAAAATTGACACATATTGAAAAATAAAAATTAAATTAATACAATTATTTTGTTAATAGTATTTTAATTCTATAATGTTAGCAGTGTTAAAAAATGGCTACATAATACAAGTATGATTATTTTTACTCTTTACAATATCATTAAGCTTAAAAATGGTTTAAGCTCAAAAATGGTTTTAAAAAATGGTTTTGTAACAATTGGCTTTTTAATCACAAAAATTCAAAAGTGACCTTACGATGATCAAACAATTTTTAGGAGGATTGATTTTTTATTTAGCAGCCAAAGAAAGTAATGGAAATATTGCATTGACAAAAAATCATCCTCTAGAAATAAGATACTTGCTTCAATCAATGTATCCAGCGCTTCTTCAAAAAGACTTGCTATTTTAGCAAATGGAATATTTACTATGCAAAATGTAGTGATAGAGATTGTAATTTTTTTATGTGGCTCTTCTACCACATGTAAGTCATTTGTTGTGCTCCGCTCTATACATAAGGGATCTCATGATAGTATTTCTCTTCACATTAGACTTCTTTTTAGTCTAAGAAAATTTAGAGCTAAATTAAATTACATTAGGTTTTTTACAAAATGTATAATTTTTTAGCTTGCTTTAAGCACCAAACTTTATAGGTTCAATCTATTGTATTTTTATCCAATGCATAGATAAATCCATGATTTGAGATTAGTTTGAGGTTAATTTGAGGTTGATCTATTTTATTTAATTGTTAAACTAAGTAGTATTTAAATACAAATTTATGAACATTACAAATATTAGAAATATTTAGAAATAATTTGTAAAAAATATGCAATATTGATTATAAATATTAAATGTCTTAGTTAATGGATCATGCAAATAAAATTCAATAGACTTTATTTTTGATTTATTTGATTCTAAATTAAGATAAATATAATATATATATATATATATATATATATATTATTCTTAGGAATTTTAAGAAAAAAAACCAATTAATCACAATGAGATCTTTTAAGCTTTGTATTGCAAGTATATTTAGTCATGTAACTTTTGTATATTTTTTGTGACAATTGCATAGATTTAACTAATTTTTTATATAAAGTACATCAAGGGAGGATAAACTAATAAGATAAACCAAAGAAGATGAATTTGATCTCTAATTGGGTGCATTTCTTATTTTTTTTATTAAAAGTGAAGCAAAAATGAAGCAAAAGTAAAGCAAAAGTTGAAATATGCAACAATTAAGAGGGCCTTAACAACTCATATGATTCACTTCTACTTCAAAAAAATAAATTATATGAACTTTTGACTCAATAATCAATTTTTTCATCAAAAGTTTTTTCTATATTTGAGATCATTTGATGTTATTGTAGTGTTTGTGCCTACTTCTAAAATTGAATAGGTTGAATGTTTAGCAAACAAAGAAAAAAAAGCCTTTGTATTATGCTTCCTTAAGAAATTTATCAAAAGACTTATAATTGCCATTCTCAATTTTGAATCTATGAGCACATCATTGGAAGCACTCATGATCTCTCATTGGATGGAATAAGAGTATTTGCTTGACACCTTATCACATCTTTATCAAATTTTTATACACTAAATTTGCTATTTTATTAAAGAAGAAATCATCTATTTTCTTTTAAATGAATTTTTCTCTTAAGAATTTTCCATCTTTGTATGATTTGTCAAAAAAATCCAGATATCATTTTTTTCCAAGAAAGACCTTCTAGAGTGTGTACTAATCAAGATGGTGTAATTAAGTGTGCAAAGAACCTCAATTAATACATATCAAGGTACTAAATTCAAGATTTGTGCTACCTCTGCTTAATACTAAGTATGTGCCAACGACACAAGTTTTTAATAATAAAAGTTTTCATAGAAAATAAAATTGAATAATATAACAAGGCACTCTCAATTATAATTCTTTTTTATTAGTTCTGTATTTTGGCTATTATTTAAGGTATTGACATTTTGTGATCAAAATTGATATAGTTTATAAGAAGAAAATTTTAAAATTAGTGTTGTCTCAAGTCATCAAACTTTGTTGGCTAATAGTTTGTTGCTGTGCTTTTCATACTCACATAGTCATATTTGCAAGGATTGACAATTTTTTACTTAGAGAATTAACAAAAAAATTACAAAAAATAAAAATATTTTTATTTATATTTTTAGATTTGTAGATTTGTTGTAGGTTGGATGCTTGTAATGTGTTGATATTATTCATAACTATCTCATTATTTATCTTGCTAATTTATTTGTATCGTACTTTTCTTTTTCTTTAATTTTTTGAAGACAATATAAGAGTATCCTGTAA